GCAAGGCGCTGCGAGGATGCTTGACCGGGAGCCTTGGAGAGGAGCTGGCGTAGCCCTGCCAGCTGGCTTCTTCTCTAACCACCCTTTTAGTTCTCACAAGGAGCTGTCCGGGAATGTGCTGTGTTTGCTGCGGTAAGTAGTGCGGTGCAAGCTACGTGGTGCAGCTTGTGTGGCTCAAGCTGTGTGGGGTAAGTTGTGTGGTGTAGACGATGTGCGTGGTGTAATGTATGTGTAACAAGTGTGGTGCAAACTGCGCGGGTGCCCAGCGCATGAGGCGCCCATGGTGGGGCACCCACCCAGCGCACGAGGCGCACACGGAGCGCCCACGAGGCTCCCACGGGCGGGCACCAGGCGAAATCTCGGTGGATTCAGCCAGTGCGCGAGGCGCCTACGAGGCGCCCAGAGGCGCCCACGAGCGGGCACCAGGCGAAACGTCGGTCAAATGCGAAACCATAAGTGCAGGCATTGTGCGCATTCCAGTTCTAGGGTCATGATTCGTTGTTGTTCGACCGGTTGTTGCTGTTATTTCGGTGTTGGCTTCAATTGCCGTTTTTTGTTTTATTTCGGCCTACTCGTTGATTGTGCCCGCCTTTTTAGCAATTCCGCGGCGCTTCCGTCGCCGTCAATTCTTCGGCTTGGCGGGAATGTTTTTTTTGTTATTGTTTTCTGTCTTCGCCAGGGAGTCGCGAACCAATTTTGTTTCATCTTGTTCTCGACTGAGTTTGGCTTCTGTCTTGTCGCTCGTTGCCGCAGTTTTCCCATTCCGTTTCCGTTGCCGCGATTTGCTTGGATTGAGTTTTGGTGTTGCTTTTTCTTGTTGCCAGTATCTGTGGTTCGGCATTGCTCCCGAGTGTTCCTGATTGTCCCTGGTCCTTTTGCCGCCGTCAGTTGCCGCAGTTGTCTTTGGTTGAGCTTCGTTCCTTCGATTCGGCCTTGTCTCCGATTCTGCTCTGGGTGTTGTTTTTGCGTCATTTTCAATGTATGTTATGCCGCTCTATCCCAGTTGCTACTTGTTTTTTTTTCGGCCTTCCCCGACTTTCGGTGGCCCTGGTGGCGCCCTCCAGTGCCACCCTTTTCCTCGGTCCAGCGTTCTTGTCGACTGTATCGGTCCTTCGTGCTGTCGTTTGTTGCCTTTGATTCGGCCTTGTTCTCGACTTTTTGCAGCCCTGGTGCTGCTTTCCCTTGCCGCGAACTTATTTCAAATGTATTCGGTTCAGCATTCTCCCCGCTCCTTCGTTACCGTTTTCCCCAGTTGGACGTTGTTCCTTATTGTTTGTGGCCTTGATACCGCCTTCGATGCTGCTAATTTCCTTGATTCCGCTTTTCCTCCGACTGTCCCCGATTGTCTTCTGCCTTGGCTACGTGGGTGCTTCCTTACGTCTGTCCCGTGACGCATCGTAACCATTGTAGTTGTATCATGCTTCGTGGTTCTGGTGGTTGACGCGCTAGTCTTCTTTCTCATTCGTTTATTTACTGGCTTCGCTGATGCTGCTGGCCCAGAGGTTCTCATCGGGGGCGTTTGCCCGCGGACTCGTCGCCTTTGCGGCCCTGCTGGGTGGTTATTACATTGAGGAGCCGTGTGGGGAGTCGTTGGGGTCTTGTTGGCTTGTTGGGCCTTGTTCGTTGCCATCGCGTGCCGCTGAGGTGCTGATTTCAGTGGCAGTTGAGGGTCTTATTCGGGGTCATATGGTGCGATTTTGGAAGCTTCCCTAGCACGGACTCGCGGGTGCCCAGGGAGGATGCTATGGGGGAGGGGAAGAGTTGCACATTTTAGACATCCTGGCACTTTTCGGAGTTGGAGGTCGGTGGGCTACGCGTGCAAACGGCTCCTCTGCCTGGGAGCCTCTTAGTCTTGGGGGCCTCTAAGGCCCTCTTGGTGTACTTTTTTGGAGGGTGGTGGGGGGGGAGTTCTTGGTGGCCTCTGGGGGCTTCTTGGAGGCCTTCTGGCAGTCTCCGAGGCCACCTGTGGGGGAAGGGCTTGAAATCTCAATTCGGGTTCCCCCTCTTGGGCGCCTCTGGAGCTCTTCTGCGGGCCTCTTGGGCTTTTTTGAGGCTTCTTGGGCCGTCTTGGGGCCCTCTTGGGAGCCTCTTGGGTTGTTTTGGGGTGATCTTGGGTGTCTTTTTGGCCGTCTTGGAGCGTCGGAAGGCAAAGGCGGGAACGATAGAGTCTTTAAAACAATGGGACATCCATGATGTTGGCCTCTCTGGGACACCTTGGGAGCTTCTTGGGAGCTTTTTTGGGGCGTTGGGGAGTCCTCCTGGGCCGTGAAGAAAGCATGTTGTGCGTATTGGGACGCTTTTGGACCGTGTCGGATCCTCTTGGGCTCTCCTGCAGGCCCCGTGGAGCGCTGCTGGAGCGCTCTTAGGGATTGTGAAGGCCGCGCCCAGACCGAACACCATCTTTGATCCGAGTCCGGCGCGCTTCCCGCGCGCTAAGTCCAGGGTATTGTTCATTGGGGGACCCCCAGAGGCTGCCCCGCGCGTGCGATTTAGCAATATACTCGGAGACTCTTACCAGAGATCTTAGCACGCCTTGGCCAGCGGCCAGTTTTTTCCCAACCTAGGCTCTGCCTAGAAGGGTTCTTACTCTCTTGGCTTAAAGGGCCGGGCAGTGGGAACCGGCCCGGGCGGTTCCCCCAGTATCCGCCCCGCGGTTCCCCCAGTTGCGCCCCCTTAGCTTAGCTTTGCTTATCTCATCTTAGCTTAGCCTAGCTTAGCTTAGCTTAGCTTAGCCTAGCCTAGCCTAGCTTAGCTCAGCTTAGCTTAGCTTAGCTTAGCTTAGCTCAGCTCAGCTTAGCTTAGCTTAGCTTAGCGCAGCGCAGCATTAGCATAGCATAACATACCATAGCATAGCATATCATATCATAGCATAACATAGCATAGCGCAGCATAGCATAGCGCAGCATATCATAGCACAGCATAGCATAGCGCAGTATAACATAGCATAGCATGATATAGCACAGCTTATATTAGCATAGCACAGCGCAGCATAGCATATCATATCATAGCATATAATAGCATAACATAGCGCAGCATAGCATATCATATCATATCATAGCGCAGCATATCATATCATATCATAACATAGCGCAGCATAGCGTAGCATAGCATAGCATAGCATAGCGTAGCATAGCGCAGCATATCATATCATAGCATAGCCTAGCATAGCGCAGCATAGCATAGCATAACATAGCGCAGCATAGCATATCATATCATAGCATAGCATAGCGCAGCATAGCATAGCATAGCACAGCGCAGCATAGCATAGCATGGCATATATTAACATAGCGCAGCATAGCGTAGCATAGCATAACATATCATAGCGCAGCATATCATATCATATCATAGCCTAGCATAGCATAGCACAGCGCAGGATAGCATAGCATAACATAGCGCAACATAACAAAGCATATCATAGCATAGCGCAGCATAGCATAGCATAGCATATTCTAGCATAACATAGCGCAGTCTAGCATACCCTAGCATAGCATAGCACAGCATAGCATAACATAGCATAGCGCAGCATAGCGCAGCATAGCATATCATAGCATAGCACAGCATAGCATAGCGCAGCATAGCATAGCATAGCATAGCATGTCATAACATCAAAATAAAGTCAAGTCAACAGCAGCAACAGCAAAGCAAAGCACAAGCAACGCACAGCAAAGCAACGCAGAAGCAATAACAAAAGCAAAGCAAAAGCAAAAGCAAAAGCACACATAAAAGCAAAGGCAAGGCAATGCACAGCAAAAGCAAAACCGATGCGAAAGTGTAGATGTAGATGTAGATGTCGGAGTAGGTGTAGAAGTGGATGTAGGTGTAGATGTAGATGTAGATGTAGGTGTAGATGTAGATGTAGATGGGAGTCTCGCTGTTGATGTAGATTTAGATGCAGGTGTAGATGTTAATGTAGCTGTCGGTGTAGATGTAGATGTTGCTTTTTTAGATGCTCCAGCTCCTAGGTAGGGTCGCACTGGGATGCTTTTTCCCCCCCTTGCGTTTTTGTTTGACGCCATTCCCAGATCAAGTTTTGCTGTGTAAGAGGGCCAGCGGCGGTAGTGATTCGAAGCCGGTTCTCCAGGATTGCCCAGGCAAGTCTTCCCCCCGCCTGTGGTTCAGGGATTTCTCCCAATGTTTAGAAGCAACGGCTTGCAATGTACTTCCATGTAAGTTCGAGCTACGCCATGTATTACAAAGCAGTGCAGCGCAGGGCAGTGCATCCCAATGCAGAGCAAGGGACGCCGCATTAGTTCGAATGGATCCAGCGCAAGAGTGAGAAAGTGCAAAGCAGCGCGAAGTAGTTCACCGCAAACAAGACCAATGTAAAGCGATGCGAAGCAAAGTGGAGAAAAAACGTCAAGGCACATCAAGTCAAGCATAGCGTTGCAATACGCAGTGGCGTAGAACAGTTCAATTCAAAACAATGCAACGCGAGTTAATGCAATGCACACGAAGATGCGACACAGTAGACCAACGCTCAGTTATTCATTGCAAGTATGCAAAGCAGTTGTTGTCAACACCGTGCAGAACTAACACAGGTCTTGCAACGACAATTGATACACATTTGCCTGGAACAGAGCAGTGCAACATATCACACAACATAGCAAAGCGAAACACGTTAGGTCAAAACGGATCAAGCTATTGTAAACCAATTCGCATCAAACCTGTCCATGTTGATCCAGCACACTGCGTTGCAAATCAGGGCAGCGCGCAGCAACATAGTGCAACGTGGCTCAATACAACGTATGGTGCAACGAGATAACGGTATTTCGAAAGCAGTGTCATGCGACATTTTGCATTTCTCCAGCCCGTCCTTATACGTTCCATATTTCTTCCTGTAGGCCAGCATCGCGTGAGGGACAGCTTGGCTGTCCCTGAACTTGTTTCGACAAGCCTTCAAGAAAGCTACTGACCTGAATTGAGGTCGCGTCGGGTTCGTGTTGGCATGTTCGTTGCCAACTGAAGTCTATCACCCTGGAATTAGTAGCGTTGCCGCCCGCAGTTTCTATAGCATTTGCCGCAGTGGGCGTGGCCAGTGGCGCCGCCGGTTGTAGGGACTGGCATGGCCGCGCTGGTATCGGGCGGCTGCGGCAGGCCTCCAGAGATTTGCGCTCCTGTGCGGGTCGCTGTGGGCAGCTTGCCCGCGTCGCTGGCGGCTGCGCGCGACAGGCTTTCGGGGGTGGGTGGAGTCTTCGGTCGGGTCTTCTGGTGGAAGAAGGGTTGTTGGTTTGTCATCAGGACCGACTGTTGGTAGGCGAATACCCACGAGCCACGATGTCTCTCCCTTTCTTCAATGGCGCTGCCAATGCTACGGAAACGAAGGAGGGATGGATCAGGACGGATGCGGGAATCTATGGGGTCCAGTTGCGGTACAGTCTTGGCCTTGGTTTCGGGCTCCCTTGCCAGTTCGTGTAGGTTTCAAGGGGTTTTTTGCCCAACCATCCTATGGTGTTGGGTCCTCGTTTTTAAGACACAGCGGCCCGCGTCCTCCTCACTCCTCTCCTCTCCTCCCTC